TATGCTGTTATACGGCGCAGATCTATTTTTCTTAACCTACGACCAAAAAAGGTAAAAAAATCTTTCAATTTGATTTTAAGTTTTATAATCCAGCATCAGTATCAATTCCACTTAATTTATGCAATACTTTTTTAGTTTTCGTTATCCTTTTCCTTTTTTTCCAAAAAACTTCCAAGTGAATATTATATAGTTGGTATTGTCCACCAAACAAATTTAAGTACCTTAAAAATAAGCACAAATACTCACTTGTAATCATTCACTATATTCATAGCTGCAAATAACAAACAGGTGCGTGCACCTAAAACCTGAGGTACAAAATATCTGATAGTTTCTTTATCTATCTTCATTTAAACCATCAAAAATGTCAAGAAAAAACTAATAAGACGTTTTGCCGCGTATCTTTCGTTCTTTTTTCTCCTCCTCTCTCCCACAGATAAAAATAAATTTTTGAAGGAAAAACATAGCGAAAAAAACAATATCCGTATTAAGCAAAAAAGCGGCGACATGAAGCTCGGAATGGAAAAATTGAGCAATAAATCGGCTGTTATACCAGTGAAAAAGAGATGGGGCAAAGAAAATCAAATCCGTTAAGAGGAGCAAACAAGGAAAAAAGCAGAAGACAAACAAAGAAAAATAAATATTTCTCTTCTATCCCAACTTCTAAGCGCGGCTCACTTAGTAGTCCTACAATACAGTGGGTTCTGCAGAAAACCTAGGTACTTTTTAAAATTAGTTAGCCTGAAAACCTTTGAAACCCATCAAGAGAAGCAATTCTTTGCCTCTCTCACACCCCCTCTTTAGCTTCTTCTCTTCGTCGTCATCATCTTCAAGCTTAACTATGTTTTTTAAAGACAGCAACAGCAACAGAGGCACAAAAAAAAAACAACAATTGAACACGAGGCCAGCTGGTGTTTTTTGGCGGCTGTAATTACCATTGTTATAGTGGCTTAGACAGCTTGATCAATTACATAGCTCATGACCAAAAGGAAAAAACTTCCACTACCAACTCATTAGCCCAGTTCCAAAAGCAACCTAACAAAAGTTGATTTTTTGGACTTTTTCCTCTTTAATAAAAAACGGCAAAATCAGAACCGATTCACAAATAAAGGAAGAAAGAACAATAGGAATGGGAGTGAAAAGAAGAACGAAAACAAAAAGTAGGAAAGCAGAAATGGCGGTGAATGGAAAAGTATTCATATATGAAGCTCTGGTAGGATAAGATCCTAGCTCAGTTATTATCCTGTCCTACTGTCCTGCAAAATATTATTTGATAAACGAATTATGTCCATATAGAATGTCAACAACGTCAACAACAACAGCGCCAAAACAGCAACAATAACAATAGAAACCTTACTCAAAACCAAATTAACCGCACACTGATGACGAATTTTCAATTCACTTATCTGAAACTCATTATTTTGAAAAAAAAAAGTTCAGTTTAAACTCATGAACTTCCATATGCTGAAATAATGAAACTAGAAAGCAAAAAAAAAATCCCTCTTTCTTATTCAACTATTTTTTCTCTGACAAAGGAAAGCATTTCCTTTCCTTCTTTTTCTTTTCATGGTATAAGGATTCCTTCAAGTGTTAATTCAAATTCAACACCAAGAAAATGCCAAAAAGCAGAACAAATGTTAAAAAATAATTAAAGCAAAAAAAATTTTTTTCTTTATTTTCTTTTTTTTGCGTACTTCTCGTCTCAATTTTAAATGTAAATAATTTGATTAACAACCTTTAAGAAACAAGCCAGAAAAATTAAAAACAAAAAGTCATAAGAGGAATTGTGCTAAGCAATATTCTAAAATGTCATTGAACTTGCTGAGGATACCCCTTTCCCATCCCCTTAACCCTAAAACTTGGCAGTATTCAACAAGCCAATAAATTCTATTTTTAAAACACGCATAATCAATTATCATTCCTTTACTTCCAATATCCTTCACTAATGACCAATAATAATAATAATAATAATAATAATAATAATAAT